GCTGGACAAGAAGAAGTAAGAAGGCGATCTTTCACCTACCGACACTTGAAAAGATATTTGTTGTGATTTTATATCTAGAGTACACTTGACACCTAAACAATAGACATAAAAAAATAAATACTCTCTCCTATTTATAATAAATGTCGTTTTAAAAGTTACGCAGTAATTAAGAATTTATTTTTGTCAATAATAACTCTCGTTAATGAAGATAGAGATGGATGTTTGGAAAAATAAAAAAGTTAATATGAAAAAATGTAGTATATTTATTAGTCAAAGTGACATTTATAAAGAACATGAGGTAGTATAAATTTAAAGATCTTACGAGTGCATGGACAAAGTAACAACCATGAAATCTAAAGGCAATCAACTTATTTGTCATAGAATCATGTTTCTAATTGTAGGCTTACTATTTGTAGTCATTTTCGCTTTATTACATAGCAATTTATAGTTGATAATGACCCCAAAAGAAAATTAGGAGAACCAATAAGCATTATGCGCATCAAAAGTCATCCATGATGAATTCATTTACTTTGTACAAGTGATCTATTAGAATTAACAGCTGTTAAAAGGGAATGAGTCGTTCGTGAGCTCGTTCAAAAACTTGTTTCGTTAATGAGTCGGACTTGACTCGAGAAGGCTTGTTAAAGCTCAATATCGACCTGTTAATATTAATAAACGATTCAATTTTGAGCTCGATTTATAGCTTATTTACTTAACGAGCAAAATCAGCTCGACTCGTTAAGCGCTTGAGCTCGATCTGTCTGACTCGGCTCATTTATATACCTTCATAATTTAGTAAGAAAATGACATAGAAAAGTCTAAAAATGACATAACAAAATCCAAAAAAGAAAATGACATGAAAAAAGTTCGAAAAGGACATAACGACTTCCAAGTGATCTCCACCTGTTAAATAAATTGCGTCGTGGGTTCTACCCATTTGTTCTTTACAGCAATTAATCAAATATCAAACCGTAGGCTTTTTTTTTTAGTCCCAAAACCATAATTATATAAATAAAATTAAAATCAATACAAAATTGAACACACAATCCTTTTAGGCTTACACATTATGCCAAGGGGTAATTCTAACCAATAAAAATGATCTAACATATTTTTTCTATTAAAAAATTAAGTTAGGAATACTTGCTGATTGTTCGAGTTTGTACTTTGATCGAAAATAGACTCAATGGTGGACTTGGTCTCATTTTATAAATGTCACATAAGTTGGACCAAGTCCACTCCATTAGAAAATAATTTTTTATAGACTTAGTCTAATTTCGACGTGGTATACGAGATTTTTTTAAGAGACCTATTGCAGGGTGCTCTAAATAAACCAATCTGGATTTTCCATTCTAATTTTTGCATTTTAAAATTAAATCTGTACTTCACTTTCGACAATTTCAGTGAATAATAATTATAGCAATCACATCATTTTATTCATATTTGAACTTTGCCAACCAAGTACCAAAGAATATATACTTTAGTTAATAATCTACTTTTTTGTGTAGTTACATTTATATATATGGCCCAAGC